ATTTCGTGCTCAGATCATTGTTTTCACCACTCACCGTCTCTCTGTGTGTTGAGCACTGCAGCCATCGGCAGGCTGCTGGTTGTCCGAGGTGGAAGCCCTCCACGCGTGCGAGTAGGGGCACGCAAACAAATCCATGTTTGCGCACATGGGTGTTTCCCTGCATCCGACAGAAATACAGCTTGGCAGCTGTCATAAAACACCACAGAAACAATTGACAGTTGGAGGCAAAACAAATAACACATCCAAGGGCTAATACTGAAATTCATATAGGGGATTTTACCCTTAAAAAGTAATATTAAGCAGATATACAACTTGTGGTAAGGGCTGGGGGAAATGGGTTGGTAACTTAGTATTGGTGATGGAGTGCAATCCCTAAAAGCACAGTTGGCAGGAGTATGCATCCATGTTATTTGGGCAGAGCAAAACCAGAAGGTGATTCAAACAGCAACCGTTGCCAAAGAAGGAAGGGGGATGCTTGTCCAAGATTGTGCGGCTATTTTTATGGATGACAAAGTCGCTCCTGCACTCCCAAAATGCAGACTAATAAAAACAATTGTTTTACACTATGCACTATGTTAGAATATAGTTACCCTTAAAGGGATTTTACTGTTCTTCTATTTTTTCCAGAGCCAAAGATTTACTGTGGAATGTTTTGCTCTTCCTATATTCTACAAGAAAGAAAAAGGAGTTTTAAAAACTACTCCAAGTGTTTTTTCTTCTTGCCTCTCTGACTGCCAATTCCAGATATTTGTTCTTCAGTGATTTTCATTGTTTTCCATCATGCCAATTTCTTATTAGATGAAACAGGAATTAACTTGTTTTGCCAAAATTAGGCAGAACGTGTACGTGAAAATATTGATGTTCAATGTTTTTACTTTCTTGTACAAATATGTGAATATTCAAGCCTTATGTACAGTATCCACAGGGACTGTAACTTGAGCAACATGTGCTCTTCCATTCTTAAAGTTCCTTATCATTTCTGATCAATTTCCATTTTAATGATTTCATTTAGTAATTATTTAACAACATTTTTCAAATGTAAACTTTCTCTCTTCTGCGAAGTTGTTTTTTATCATTCCAAGAGATCATAAATGCTTACCTTATACATAAATAAATGTATAGATCCCTTTAAAAATAATGCTATGATCATTGAAAGCATAAAATATTCCTTATTTGACTGTTCAGGTGTGTAGTATATAAACGCAATGTATCTGTGTTTAACGTAGCATATTCATGTCTACAGTATCTTAATAATCATATGTCCAAATGGATCTCTCAAAATAGTGTACATGAGCAGGATTGATTCCCATTTTTTGTAATCCTGCATAACTTTATCAGTATCTTTGCATCTGAAGACCAACAAACTTACCAGTAAATGCAACAGGAGTCATCACCAGCTCTGACTCTGGTGTCCTGGTCCTGCTCCAAATAGGCATTACGCCAGGATGTGGAGCAGACTGCAGTGGTGGTGCTGACGGATGACCGTCTCCTGTCCCTAGACAAGAGCTATGTATCCAACTTCTATTATTGTACCACTCGGTAGCATTAATATAGTTAAACTGGGGATTTTTCTGGATCCTATCATAGATGTGGCAAATTTATTGACTTTCATTCCTTTTTCTCTGCACCTCAGAGTCCAGACCAGTATTTCCTATAATCCCATCTGTAGACTGTCTTCATGGTTTTTCAGCAATATGCAGGTGGCATGCATCAGATTCTTTGTAGATGCAAGCACCACCAACAACTTTGGGGGTCTGAACAAGATCTTCGCTGTTCAGAAATCCAGCTGGATTTTCCATCACTGCAATGCATAGTAGTACATTTTAGTATTTAGAGAATTAGTTTCATTTCCAGGATGCTCTACAAATGGTACTCATGCATCCTCCCAGTTCCCATGGGATGTATGAAAGCATTTCATTCTCAATTTAACACATTAGGAAACTGAAGCAACTTATTCAAGAGGACAGAGAAAGCAAACCTCGTCCTGTTTAAAAGTTGTCCGTGCCTTCAGTAGTCTTGCTATTGACCTTAGCGGGGTTTGGATTAGTCCCTGCAATATATGGAATTAGATTTCAAAAATTATTGACTCTGTCCTCTTCAATATATCTCAGCACATTCACCTTCTGGAGATACAGAGTCCCAACGCACCTAGAAGGATGTTTCGGGAGTGTTGGCCCCCAGCATTCTGCTAGTGAGGTTGTAGATCGATTCCAGTTGTAAAAGAAACTGGTGACAAAGCCATGTACCCATTTAACACAGGAAAAGTTACGTACGAAGTCACATGTCCTTGAACGTGGCAGGAATTAGTGGCAAATAATTTTCTTCCACTTAAATCACAAACCTGCTTTGATTGGCATGCAGCCTAAAAGCTCTTCCTCTCAGCTCCATTTTGAGGCCTTGTTAGCAGCGTTTGTGGACACGAGTTTCCTTGTTGCCATCTCCCTTGGACTGGTTTTTCTCTGTATCTTCACCACTACCAAAGGAATATTCAGAAAACCGCACCATATTGAAACCTGTCGTCTTTTCTTTGAGTGCGAGCATGTGTCTGTGGTTTGGGCAGAGTTTGCTGTTGTCGCAGTTAGCTACTCTTACAAGAGAGAAACTGAAGCATATCTACTAGTTGTCTTAAGGAGAGAACAACAAGGGTGAAATTTACCTTGTGGTAGCAGTCACCAGATGACAACGTTTTTCCTCGGCTGTCACATAAGACCTGAAGGAAGCATACAGGACAGGGAGAACTTGCCTTCAGTCCATCTTCTTGTACGTTTCCACCTGCTCCATCCTTGCCTCAGAATGCTGTGTGTGTCTACTATGGATATTGGAGTTAATATGGAATTTCATATCTGGCTAGGGCTGTAGCTGATCCTACATTTGTCCAGAGCAGTGGACGAGATGCCTTCCTCGGCATCTTTCCAGTCCCAGTTTTCCCTGATCCTAGGAGAAGATTGGTGTGACACCATGCATGGAGCGATACTGTGGTGCTCCGCTTTGTGTGCCGTGCTCCGTGGGCCACTGCAGCAGTGAGCAGCAATGATGGATTTCCACCCGGAACAGGAGAGTGCTGCACGGGAGGGACTGCTGTGACTGTCAGAAGTCTGACTTTTAAAAATGAGATCACGCAAATTAGCACAGCCGAAGGGCTTCTGTTGCCCTTTCACCTCTGACTTTATCTCCCAGCATTCAGTAGCCATGAATATTTAATACGGCCACCACTGCATCCCGTGGAATAAATGACAGGCTCGGAGTTTCAAAGCTTCATCTGAAAAGCAATGCATATACATCGATATTGAAAAAAGCATCACACCCAGAGCAAATCCTTTTTCATAAGCCCACTTATTTAAAAAAAGTAATGTAATATCATGAGTTTTCATTAATACTAGTCTTCAATAAGCCTAAAGCAAATCCATGCTCGCTGTGTGCTTGCCACGCTTGTTCTACAGAACTGCCTGGAAGAGATGAAGTCTCACAGTCAGTGCATGGAGAGCAGGCAACGTGCGGCCGAGACAGATACGAGCTCTATTGGAGTTGAGGTTCTCAATCCTCAGTTGTCTTCCTCAACGAAGATGATTATGGATGTTCCACAGGAATCACAATGCTAATTTTCAGCCCCCGCAGAGTGCTTTACACCTGCAAAGTGATATAAAAATGTGAGCAGTTACCTCACCAGTAAGTGAATATGATTGTACCTGTTCTGCAGATGCAGAAATTAAGATATGGAAAGGTCAGCAGGCTGACCCAGGGTCACATAGTTTCTCAACAGCAGATTTAGAATGAAGAAACGGGCCTCTCTGGTCACATTCCATGGATCATGCTGCCTTGTAGTAAATGTAGCTCAAATTTCCTAAATATGTATATATAAAAATCCTAGAGAATGAGTTGTTTCCCTCTGTCCTCCTTCTTCAAAACAAACAAGCTCCTGAGCTACCAAACCCTGGTTTACATGTATCATTAAATATGTTCCAGTTGCTAACCAGAAAACTCAGTAGAAAAGCTGTACGACACCAAAGTAACTCTCTTCTGTTAAATAATTGATGACGCCAAATAGCAGCAGTGTTACACCAACAAAGACATCGGTGTCTCAAAATATTTTATTCAGTACACTTCAAGAAACTCAAAACCTTGTTTTTAACGCAAACAAATTTCAGAAGTTGGCTCTCAGTTCATCTGAAACATCTGCTTATTACAATTCTTGGTGGTACAGCGCTGGTGTTCCCCAGCAAATCTTTCAGCTTTAAATAGTACGTATGGAAGTCTTGGCAAAGAGATCAGGAAGGAGAAAGAGTAACATTTGCCAAATATGCATTTTACTTTATGGGGCTTTAGTGGTATATTTTAACAATACATGTGTTGAAGAGAATCTACTAATCCGATTAAATAAGAGGACAGGAAAGAATTAGTTCCAAGGTTCAAAAAGACCCCATTCTACGCAGCTGAAACTTTATATTCCAGGGTACAATGGTTAGAAGTCTTGGCTAACTACACCTCTATAAAACAGCCAGAAATGGATCTTTCTCTGTAGTGTCCGTAAATCAAGGTCACTTGTGTGAGAAGGCTATGTTGTGATAAATCTGTCTGACAATTAGATGGAGAGAGCATATCGATGTTAAATTATATTCTTTGTACACTCTGGTCAGAAGACAATGTAAACACCACAGTAGCATTATGAAACAGAAAATTGCATTCCAGATGATCACAGATATTCATGGTGCATGGTTTTACACTTTAATGTGCTGTGGTTTATTGTCAGATTAATATTTTAAATTATGTAACATTCCCTTCTTTATGCATAGTTTATTTTTTTCACTGAAAATGCACCTCTCTCTCCCTCTCTCCTCCCTGTTCCTCTGCCTTTTCCCTTTTCCATTTTTCCTTTTCCCTTCTCTTTTTTTTAACAGTGATGCTTGAAAAAAAAAAGCCTAAAGAGAAACTGTCTGTGCAAGGAAATAGTAACAAGTGGGTTCAAGATTTATAAGCCAGGATTTTATGTTATATATTTACAGATTCAATCTGTGTACCAGGCTTTGATCCAAGCCTTAGCATGATGACGGGAATCACTCCGATTAACCCAATGATACCAGGTATGGGGTTAGTGCCGCCACCACCACCAACAGATGTGCCTGTAGTCAAAGAAATAATTCACTGCAAAAGCTGCACGCTCTT